CCCCAAAACCCCAAAACCCCAAAACCCCAATTACCTATATTTTGATAGAAAAGTTATAAAATATATTGTTAAAAATGCCGCACCCAACCTGCACACACTACCTCTGCCCTACAAAACCCTACTCCTTCTTCCCCCACTCCACCTCCTCCTACTGCCTCAAGCACTCCCGAAGCCCCCTCAAAGACCCTCTCCCCAAACTCCTCTCTCCCCACCTCGGCCTCCAAAGTAAGCCCTCCCTCTAACCCAGTCTAGGCCCTTCAGAACTGACCTTCCTCAAGCACGCACAAAAAGTCTACAGTACACTTCTAAAATCCTTTAAGGCACAGAAGGAAGACCAGCTGTTCTGGGATATTTATGAAGAAGTATTAGATGAGGTAAAGGAGGCGTTTGAAGGCATTTTGAATGATTTAAGGGAGGTGAGGGATGGGAAGAAGGAGAGTGGGTCTGATAGTTTGGGGAGTTATGAGATCGTGAAGACGGATTGGGATAGAGGAAATGAGGGTAGTTTGTCGAGTAAAGAATCTAAAGATGAGAAGGAAATTGTGTATAATTCACAGAGACAAGAGCCATATTTTGATCCAAAAACTTTATTTGAGCTGCTCTCAATTTCTAACAGCAATATTAGAGATCTGTCATTGGATAACGATGTTGCTTGTAAAGAGGAATCAAAGGAAGAATTTTTCGATTTTGATAAACAAGAAATTAGAGCATTTCTATTTCAATTTTTTAATCACATCGAATGCCTTTTTACCAAAGAAGAATGAAATCTTGATTTAGAATTTTTCAAAATATTTATCTCTATTTTTGAAAACACTTCAGAAAACTCAGAGAGTTCATCAAATATCAATCATTATCTGAAAGATCTGACCTCAGATAAGGAATCAATTAACAAAGAAATCCAACAGAACCTTCAAATTTGCCAAAAATTTGATCACATATTCGACCAAAACTCCCTTACCACTAATAAAGATAAATTTGATGTTTCTACTCCTTGATTTCTCAAACTATCTCACCACTACTGCAATTACCTCAAAATTCTTCCTCAAAAACCGCACCCTCTCTTCTCCCACCTAAACCCTCTTATGCTAAACTGAGTGACCTGTGCCCACCCCCAGGACTGTGACCAAGACCCCTTCTATTACTTGCCAGAGCTAGATATCCAGCTGTGCTTCCTGCATAGGTTCCATAAAGCATATTCCTTCTGTACGAAGGTGACACCAGTGTATCAGTGAGGGCTGGACCAGCTCAGGAAGTTTCTCAATCCGATCTGGCAAAGATGTGCGAAAGATGGTAAGCTTGTGTGGGACCGAGCAGTAGAAGAAATTTAGTGGGAGTTTTGGGGATAAGTTTGGAAAAAGACTGATTTTGATAGGCTAAGGCTATTTTTGTGCGGAGTTTGTAAATTATTTGGGTATTGTTAGATTATTGGTTTTTTGGGTTAGATATTGGGTTATTCATAAGATTTATTGAGTGCCTTATTTGTTAAGTTCTTGTTATTTGCCTGTATTCATACGACTTTTTAACTTTTAAGAAAAATATTATATTTTGTTGGTATAATCAAATTTCTGACAATTATCTAACCCTTGCTTATAGATTTCTACAATACATATCATTTCAAAGATCCAATGCTTGATTTCACAGACTCTAAAACATTCAGAGCTAGTAGTTTCCTATTTATCCAAAATGAAATTCTGCATACCTATTCCAAGTTCCCTTGAGATCTAACCTGGGCAGTCTCCAACAAACAATTTCCTTCACTTAACTACTACCACCTTGCCTCTGGCATCAGCCGGATCAAAAAGGAGAACCCAGACCACTACGATATTCCTCCCCTAGATAGTTACGAACAGGATTACAGATTCGTGGATATTGGACTGAAGATAGAGATACTTAACTATGTAGACCAGTATCTTAAAGGAAGTGTAAGCGTATTCACGATGGAGATCTACTCTTTGAACTATTGGATTTAGAAATTGACTTTAAAAATAATATCAATAGTATGTGTAGTTAGTAATCCAAATACTTTACCTGAAATTTCTGCCATCGAACAATCAGGGAGGTCTTTGATATAGGAAGTCCATGGTAGTGGTAATTTTCTAAAGGTTTAGAACTTTAGAAGTTTTAGTATGCTAAAAATGGGTTTTGCTTGGGTAATCATAGTTAAACTATTAGAACTCTGCGATTTAGCCAATACAAAATTTATTGCTTCCCATTAAGCTCTCTATTAATTACTAACTTATCTCTCTTTTCCAAGATATCTCTTCCTTCACATCCTGCTTACCCCATCTCATAGGAGCACCCTAACGATTGAGATTGAAATGATTGTCCAACTGGGAACCCACTTTTCATAAACAAGCAAGAGTTTTGGATGAAACCAGAAGAAGAGCCTGGTTTATTAGCAAGGTTTGGTATGTACTTTCCGGGTGCTGGGCTGGGCTACGTTTATACTGCCCTTAAAATAAATTTTTTTATTAAAGATAGAATTAAATAGTTTAAATAATTGAATAAAAAGAAAAAGTATCGTATTTGTATTGAAATTAGAAAGGTTCTAATTATCAACAGTTTAATTACAAAATAAATACAAAAATAGCTTAAATAAAAACATAAATCAAGAAGGTTAGGAAATTTTTGTAAACATTATTTTTAGAATCCCAGCTCTGCTCAACCCAACTTTGTAAGAAAGGCTTTCAATTTAACAACGAAAAATTCACCCTAAAGCCTGGCGATTATTCCTCAAAGAACACATATAAAAAGAGTATTTCAAAAATGAACTTGGAGTGTTCTGAGGAGGAAGAAGAGACAAAAGAAAAGCAGAAACCTCAGGAAGAGAGTAAACAAGATTCTCCCTCAGAAAGTTATTGAGATGTTGCAGAATCATCTTTGAAGCAGTCAGATTATGATAAAGTCGAAGAAGCTGATGAACCAGAACTCTATGAATCTAAGATGTCGAATTCAGAGCAAACAGATAAGCAAGAAGATGACATTTCAGAAAATAAGATAGAAGATAGTTCACAAAGTAAAGACTCATCTAGCTTTGAAGCTTTTGAATATAATGAGAAGCGAAGTTCAGAACAAGAGAGTTCAAGCTTAACTGATAATAGCTGCCTTGATGGCTCTGATGATGACTTCAGTTCTTTAACTGCCAAATCTTCAGACTTAAATTCAAAAGAAAAGAATCTCTTTATATCAGATGAGAATGAACAATCTAAGTCTAAAGAAAGTAAAGAGCATAGTTCAGACAAAGAGTATTCTAAAGAGTCAGAGCAGCCTGATAAAAAATTAGAATTTGGAAAACAAGAGATTCAAGAACTAATACATTTTGCTGAAGATAAAATACTGACTAAAAGAAGCAACTATTTCAAAACATCAGGGTCAACCTGTATCTCTAAATATCTGCTTAATAATCTGAGGGTTCACAAGGAAGAAGTAGACCCTGATGACCCATTCTTATGACAATTTGATCTCTCTAATCCTGACGAATTTAAACAATTTGTGGAAATGGTATTACCAAAGGAAAGAACATATATAATGTCAGGTGAAAACTCAATAACTCTTGAACTAAAAAAGGAGAATAACTATAAATTCTTATTGTGCATAAAGAGCAGGCTTCCAGATTTAAAATTATTGTTCTTAAATTCCTTCCCAAAAGAGGATGTTTATGTCTATAACTTCCTTTATCGCTACTTTCCAGAGACCGCCCAAGACTTTGTGATATACTTTGGCACTGAACAAGAGCCTATTGATTTCTATTTCCAAACAGTAATTGATCAAAGCAGAAGAGTTATCAGAAAGTTTGATATTGGATTTTGCAAGCTAAGTCAATCCCAGATGATCCAGATCTTTCAGGAATTTAAGCATGTGAACTTTCTCAGGTTCTATAATTGAGAGCTGGATTTAGAATCTGTTCCTGCCTTTGAAGACTCCTTACAAGGATCGAAGGTGAAAACTTTAAGCTTACCAATGATGCATTTGAGATTTGAAATGTATCAACTTTGCAATTTATTTGAAGGCCTTGCCCAATCAGAAGATTTCTTGCCGGGCTTGGACACAATTGATTTTTATAACTCTGGCATATCAGAAGATCAAAAGAGGGAGCTCCTCGAACCTTATGTCACTCCTGAAAAGCTAATCCAACTCTGTTCTGATTAAAATCCCAAAAAATCTACCTCCATAAATCCTATTTTCAACCCCCTAACTCCTTCACGGGGTTTTGGGGTTTTGGGGTTTTGGGGTTTTGGGG